CCCCACACACAGCAGAGCCCACACCACACACACCCACAAAACCTCGAACTTAAACCTTACACTCACTATTTTCTTCGAAAATATATGTGAGTTCCACAAAATCTAAAAACATTGAAATGATACTAGTCTTTATTTGTTTCAGATATCTAAACTCTTTATATTATATTTAGTCGTTTTTCAACATATTTTTTACGCTTCGTATCGTCTGTATAGTTCAACGAAACATAGGGTGAAGACTGTAAATATTTCATCATATGTGGACTAGCCATATGACTGTTTATCACAGTGCTTCCCATTATTAGGAGTCTGTACCTGTTTTATTATTTAACGTTAGAATGCTTGTCAAGGCTCATATAAAAACTTACATTCTATAAGGACTCACTATATTCTTTGAGCATTCATGCAAGTCTTATTTCTCTGGTAGCCAACTATGTCATATATCAAGAATTTCGGATTCCCTACATCTCATTTGCGAGAAGCAAGCAATTACATTCAAGACCTTGGATATAGGAGAGCATTCATCATATGTTCTTTTGCAAGACTAGAGTACTTCACTTAGATTAATCGGTATAAAAAGTATTCATACAGTAGCTGTGATATTACAATCAAAGTATAATTACAGAATTCAAAGAGTAGTATATAATTCAAAGCATAGCTAAGGAACTTGTTGTCTCCGTCGATTAAAATCATTTCTAAAAAAAAACTTCTTCCAGTTTAGCGTCTCTAGATGTCACGCTATAGCACTATCACGACTCGACACCAGGTTATTGGTCTTTTCTTTCCTTATATGCATGTTGTGCAGATTCTGTTTAGTTATTTCTTTCCGTTCTACTCTGTCATCCAAATTTTCTTGCTTCATTTATTCATGCTTCTATGATTATTCATCATTGACTATATAATATTCTGTTCCTTTCAGAATAAGATATGTAAAATACAACATTCTTTCAATATTACCATATTTTACAACGATCAAAAGAAGGTAGTTCTTTATCAAGTTTTTATCACTAGTTCTATTATGCATCTTCGTCAAGATACTTCAACATCTTTATAAAATGAATTATTTTTGCAAAATTTTTGAACACTTATGAAAGTTTTTCAGTAATTAATCTATAGTTTCAAGCTTGACATACATACATTAGGCAAAGTGTTTATTAGAGAACAGAACCGAAAAAAACATTGATTGGGCGAAAATTGATTATCTTACATAAAATTTATACAGCGACTAAATTAATATGTAATTGCTTAAAGATGGCAGCAGTTGATGAGGCAATGTGGAAATAATTAACATTGCAACATGTGAAACATGTACGTTCTTTTCAAGTATAAAACATTTCTTTCATCCTTGGTGCACACAAGAACATATATAATGTATCTCTCAGTGTAGACGTTATGAAACAGTATCACTACATCTTCACAATTGTAGATATGGTGATAACATTTTAACACATGGATGCTTGAATATCTAATTAGTTTCTCATGGTCATTGAAGGAAAATGATAAATTTAGTCATATAAACCTGCTAATTGTTGTGACATTCATCTATTTCTAAAACATTTAGATGCATTATATATTATATTACCTTTCTAGATTAAATTGAAATTCTAATATATTTACATTTTACCAGTGTACCCTGATGAGACGAATACAACCAATACGACTGGGAAAGTCCAAAAATGAACAGTCACTATTTTATCAGTTTGATTTTAATGTTGTTGAAGCCAACGAAACAGACCATAGAGCAACAACCGATGTTGAAGTAGCACCATTGAACGACGAGTTACAACAACAGAGCTTAACTTCTGATCAATTACAACTCTTGTTCCGCAAGGCTAGCTCTGAACTGATTGCAGAAACAGCAGATGAGCAAGATTTCTTCAAACGCGAAGCAACAATTAAAGCACCGAAAACATCTCAAATAGTACAAACACCATTTCCAGCTCCTTTATCAGAACGAAAAGAAGATTCTGAATTGACTATTGAACAATTGAAACAGTTAGCTAAACAAGAAGCAGGTCCACTCATCATCGAAAGATATTCTCCTAGTGAAGAGCAAGTTGATTACGTAATGCCAACAGTTAACTTAACATTTAATCAACCAATGATTAGTGTGTCATCATTGGATGAAAATATGAATCTTGAAGAGCTAGGGATATCGTTAACACCAAAAATTGAAGGTAGATGGAGATGGACAGGAACGAAAACAGTTCAATTCGAAGCCAAGCATCGTTTTCCATATTCGACAAAATTTACACTAAGAGTCGACAAAGAACACTGTGTATCAGTGATCGGAGGTAAAGCTATCTTGCATTCGATGAGATTTCATTCTGTACACATATTCTTGATACTTTCATTAATTGTAGGAAAACTAGACGAAGAATTCGTTTTTGAATTTTCAACAGCAACAGCAAAAGTTCTTGATTTTTCACCTTATGGAACAGTTTCCACATTGAAACCTAAATGTTTTCTATTATTCAATCAAAAGATTAATATGAATGAAATTTCGAAGCATATACGCGTCGTAAGCAGTAGTGGAAATGAGATCCAAAACCAAGAATTAGAAATGTTAGACGACGCAACAGCAAAAAGTGAATTTAAATCAAATATAAATGCTGACGAAGGAAATCATGAGAAATATGTTGCATTTACATTTAAGAATGATTTATCGAAAGCAACAGAATATCTAGTTCAACTGCCTATAGGGTGTCCATCAGCAGAAGGTCCACTAAAGACAACGTCTGAGTGGTCAACGAGCTTTCACACTTACGAGCCATTAAAAATAATTGATTGTTTTCCAAATGAAACAAATTCATGGCAACGAACTGCTGCTCCTGGTCAAAATTGGTCGCTCACATTCAATAATTCATTAAATCATTCAACAATTAATAAATCATTATTCAAGATTGAACCAGAAGTCAATGGTTTAGGTAAATACATACCGTATATGTTTGTGTTAGTTTTCCTAAACAAATAAAATATTGTCCTTTAGGCATTGAGCATGTCGAACACAATGATCGAGAAATAACAATGCATAATGATTCTAAACCAAATACTGTTTACACACTGTTCATAGAAGCAGCATCATTAAAAGACATTCATGGTCAAACATTGGAACATGATTTCTCTGCTAAACCAATTCAATTTAAAGTCCATGACTCACCACCATTAACTGGAGACATATCGAGTGCAATAGGTAATATGGCACGACAAGCATTTATTGTTAATAAAACGAAAACTTTACTGTAGGTATGGTTACGATAGATCCTGGTGTATTAGATGAACCATTTTATCCATTTATGGTTTATAATTATTCAGAATTAACAGTTCGTATTAATCGAGTAAAGCCAGAACATTATGATCCTAACTTGCCATGCTTTAATTCATATACATATACCATGGAAGATCAAGCATGGTACAATAAATTACCTGGCGAAGAGTTGCTGAATGCAGTAATAAAAACGAATTGTGAACGTGATGAACCAAAAGAAATAAGAATTCCGTTGAAAGAATACCTAAATAAAAATTCTGGAGTAGGACAATTAATTCTGCTAATTGAACCAACAAAAAAGGCGTGGAGTGAATGTCAACGTCAAGATTGGCAATATCGACAAATAAAATCTGCCTGGATACAATGTACACGACTAGCAGTGGACCTATTTGTTTCTTCAGGTAATAGTGCCGTACAGCAAAAATTAACTGATCGAATCAGTCAGTGTATTTAATATAGGTACTGATGGCACATTGACTGCATGGGTTACTGAATTGATGACTGGTGCACCTGTCACCCAAGCTATTGTCCAAATAGCAAATAAAAAGGGAGAAACCAATCAACAAGGACTATGTACCTTTAAAAAATACCTGATAGAAAAAGATGAATCAAGCAAAGCAGAAGATCAAGGAAATAAAATATTAATTGTAGAAAAAGATAATGATCTGTGTATGTCAGTAAATATTTATACTTATCCATCGTACTATGATGCTTATGCTTGGCATGTGTTCAATGATCGAGGTTTGTATAAACCGAAAGAAGAAGTGCATATAAAAGGTTATGTGCGATTACTGGAAACAAAAGGTGAAACAAGATTACCAGCTTATGTTCAAGGTTCCATTGATTATACAGTACAGGATCCTCACGGTGAGCAGCTTCTGCAGTCAAAAGTCGAGTTGAATAATTACGGTGCATTTGATATCCAATTTACATTGCCTGACAATGTTAATCTAGGTAATTTTCTAATACAAAGAGAAAGACATTGATTTGAAGTTAGCATTTCTATTATTATTAGGCTATGGATACGTAACATTCATTTTACAGGATTCATTAAGTAGTCATACTCATCAGTTCAAAATTCAAGAGTTCAGAAGACCAGAATATGAAGTTTCATCAAAGATTAAATCAACAACAACCTATTATTGTCATCCAACCATGGATCAAGACGTCGTCGTTTCTTGTCAAGGAAAATTGTTTGCAGGTGGTTATCTGAATGATGCAAATGTCCGGTGGACAGTACGAGCTGAAGCAACCAAATTTAAACCAGCTAATAGATCTGATTATTCATTTGGTAGAGTTGAACCGATGTTTTTCATGTTTCGTAATAATGATGAAAACAAAATATCATATCCGTCAAAATTCTTTCAGGTAATAGAATTTTTATTCAAGTATCAAAGCATGAGCTGAGAAATCGTTTTTCTTTTAGGGTAAAACAAACGATCAAGATATGCATGAAATAAAAATTAGTTATCACGGCATTGAAGAAGAACCGAGACCAACAATTGTCTATGCACTGGCAGCTATTACTGATTTAAACAACCAAACGCAAGAAACACAAACACAATTCGTCGTACATCCGTGTACTTATTATGTTGGATTTCAAATGTCAACATATTTTGGCAAGAAAGACAAGCCTGTACCAACCAAAGTTATTGTAACAGATATTGATGGAAATTTAATTGATAATATTGCTGTTGAATGCAAAATAGTTGGAAATGGTAAAAAAAGAAAAGAAGATGAAAACGGTTTGATCATATACGAAGACGTCAAAGATGAACAAATAATAACCTCTGTTAGTTCAAGTAAAGATGCCATTAACATTGATTTCACACCAAAATTAGGTAAGTCTAATTACTAATTGTGAATCTAAATCTTCTTTTTCTGTTTGACACCAGGCGGTGAGTACAATATTTCATATACTGTCAAAGATGAGCAAGGACGATCAGCTATGAGTTTCTACGATGGTTTTTACGTCTGCGGTGGTTACGAAAAGGAAATGGAACAACAAAAAGTCGAATATGTTCCGATGGATGCAATTAAAATCGTACCAAATGCACCGAATTATCAATCTAATGACACATGTGAACTACTCATATTAGCTCCGTTCAGTCCAGCAAACGGTCTACTAGTATTCGACTGTGACGGTCAAGTTTCGCAACCAATACAATTTCAGATAGAACCTGGACAAAGTTCGACAACTGTTCAATTTAAGATATCGAAGGACTGGATACCAAATTTCACAGTACATGCAGAATTAGTAGGCTCAGCTCCAAGACAAACGGAAGTGATTGGCTCGCCGAATCGTCCAGCTATCGCTACTGGTTCACAATTAATAGAAGTATCTAGAGACATTTATAAACTAAATGTTTCGATTAATACAAAAGAAAGAAATAAAGTGTTTACACCATCATCAAATATCCATATCGATGTGGATGTCTCACAATATATCGATAAAGTAGCTGTAGACAAAGCCGAAGTGTGTATGGTTGTTGTTGATGAAGCAATTTTATCATTAACTGATCATAAAATGACTAATCCATTAGATTTATTTTATCCTAACCGAGTAGCAAATATCAATCAATTCCATGATAGAGATCGTTGTTTGGTATTCAGTAAGCAAGATATCGAAAAATTTAAGAAAGATATGCAAGAAAACCAGTATTTATCCAGAGTAGAAAATATATGTTGTTACCAAGCAGCACCTATGGCTATGTCTGAGATGAGCGCAAGTGGCTGTGGATTTGGAGGCTCCGGTCCTGAGGAAAAAATATCTGTTCGATCGAACTTCAATCCATTAGCATGTTGGATACCATCATTGGTCACTGATGTATCTGGACGTGTTTCGTCTGAAATTAAATTACCGGATAATCTAACACGTTATCGCGTATGGGCACTCGTAACAAATGATAAACAATATGGTTTAGGTGAAATGTCATTTACTGTACAATTACCAGTTATGGTTCGACCTTCACCACCGAGATTTCTTAACTATGGTGATACAGCTCATATCTCGGTTATTTTACAAAATCAAACTGATTCACCATTACAATTGTATGCTGGTCTGCGAGCATCTAATGCTAAGCTGTTAACACCACAAGAAAATCAACAAATGGCTGGTTACTGTATTGCTCTTCAACCAAATAAACGAGTTGCTCTTATATTTCCGTTGTCAACAGTGCGTTCTGGTACAGCTCGATTTCAATTCATAACCAGTAGTGTCAAAAATGAAACATCTCCATCATTTGGCGACGCCATTGAATTTAGTTTACCTGTATTCAAACCGGCAACATCTGAAGCATTTGCAACATATGGTGATGTGTGTGATGAAAAAGTTATTTTACAACCGATAAAGGCACCAGAAAATGTTATTCCACAATTCGGTGAGTTATCAATATCAACAAGTTCTACAGCATTAGCATCATTAACCGATGCAATCATTGCGCTCTATACATATCCATATGAGTGTTCAGAACAAATAAGTTCACGATTGCTTGGTATACAATCACTATGGGACGTTTTACAAGCATTTAAAAGTAAAGATTTACCTGAAGTATCCGAAGTAAAAACTAAATTAGAATCCGATATGAAGAAGCTCAAAGGTCGTCAATATTCAAATGGTGGGTTTGGTTATTGGACAAATCAATACAATTCTAATGCCGATCCATTTATGAGTGTGCATGTTGCACACTGTCTAGTTGTTGTTGAGCAGAAAAAGGTAAAGATCAAATTACAGTTATGATTTAGTATATGCATTAAACAAATGAAAGACTGAAGTTTCACATTCTTTTTCAAGGTATTTTCTGCTGACTACGATATGCTGAACAATGCACTGAGATATCTTGAAAATATAGAACAGGAAATTGATCGGCTACTATCCGCTAAAACTGGTCTGAAACAACTCGCTTTAGTTTGATGAGTTATGCACTGTATGTCCGAGCGAAAAATGGTCAAAATGTAGCAAACGATGCTTCACAATTATTCCAGAAAACTGGATTTAACAAACTTAGTTTAGAAGCATTAGGATGGTTGTTGATAGCATTGTCAACAGATACGAATAATGCTAAAAAACCGACCATTGAAACCATTTACAAACATCTCAAAGGAAAGGTAAGTGAAACAAGTGAAACAGCTAATTTTACTACATCATATGGTGATGATGGTCAATCGGTCATGTTACATTCGGATCGACGAACAGATGCTATATTATTGGAATCATTATTATACATTGATCCCAATTCAACTCTATGTACTAAATTATGTAAAGGTTTACAAGCACATAAAGTGAAGGGTGCATGGAAATCTACACAGGAAAATTGCTTCGTATTAATTGCATTGGATAAATATTTTCATATCAAAGAAAAAGAAACACCAGATTTTGTTGCTAACATTTGGCTTGACAACGATTATTGTGGTCAACATCGCTATACAGGTGAGATCATATAAAAAGAATAATGATAAATTTAAGATTTTCATATCTATACAGGTCAAACAACAAATACACATGTAGTCAATATCCCAATGAAAGCAATTTTGTCGCCATCATCGAATGCAGATGATAATAATAAGAATCTTATCTTGCATAAAGAGGGTAGTGGTCGATTATATTATCGTATTGGATTGAACTATGCTCCATCAAACCTACATTTGAATGCGGTTAACTTTGGTTTTAAAGTTGAACGAACATACATAGCCGTCGATGATTCATCACATGTTAAGAAACAATCGGATGGTACATGGAAATTCAAATTAAATGAGAAAATCAAAGTCATATTGACCATGATAACAACGCAACGACGATATCATATAGCATTAGTTGATTATTTACCGGCTGGTTGTGAACCATTAAATACAAAATTAAAAGGAACAATTACTGGAGATACAGAATCATCAGTATCAAGATCAAAAAGAGATGTTTTCTGTTGTGGACTTCGACCAAATTCCACTATTGGTTGGCCTGATCATGAGAATTTGAGAGATGAACGTGCCGAAGCATTCCGATCATTATTATGGCCTGGTGCGTATGAATGGAGTTATGTATTGCGTGCAACATGTGCTGGAACATTTATCGTTCCACCAGCAAAAGCTGAAGAAATGTATTCACCGGAAAACTTTGGTCGATGCGCAACAGAAAAAGTCATAATTGACTAACAAGTAGACATTAGCATTAAAATTTCATAATTATTTTTCGCTTTTGATTTAATTATTTTTTATGTACTCATTACTAACCCAATCACTAATCAAATTAGCTTTTACGCACACACTCTAATAAATTTAATCGCTTGATATATTTTTATGGCAACCAAGAGTAAAAAACTATTCGATCGACAATTGATGAGGGTATGGGTATGTTAAAGGGGCAGGCCTTTTCATTGTATCTCGTATATCTAATAGACAACAGAGTCACAGACACACCCTTGAGTTGGCATTCGTCAAAGTCCGACAAATCGAAGAGATATCGATCGAGACTGCTATCGTAGATTCGTCCCTGGTAGCAGACACACGATTTAATTATCAGACTCAAGCATGGTTGAAAAGTATAAAGAAACGAATTATTGTAAAGTATTTTTCATCAGGGAGAGGTAAGTTTAGAACAGTAGAATAATACGCGATGAATGATGAATAAAAGACAAAAGAAGTCAAGTCAACATTGATAAATTCATAAGATTCGTCCGAAAATTGATGTAACATTGTGCATTCAATGCTGGCGTTCTTCAACGGCAAATAAGTGTTGTATATGGACTAAAAATATTGCATTTATTTATTTTGTCATCAACACGAATAGGTGGTAAACGATTCACACTCGCAAAACGCAGTCGCTTTTCTCCTAAATATATTGCTGCATGAGTGAAGCAATGAGATAATTTTTACTATGAATGGATGGAGTTATTAATGGGACACTCAACAATAGTATATCTAAAATTCCACTTCACGTAATAAACTATGTTGACAAGTTATAGCCGCATTAACTGGGTTGTTCGACTATATAAAGTTTTAAGCACTATTTAAACTGTCTTACAGCTATTTGCTCTTTCATTGCGACGGTTAAATTTCTTCTGTAGCTACTTGAAGTTCTCTACAACTATTTAAACTGTTCTGTGGTAATGCAATATCTAACCTTACTAGAAGTTCCCAGATTATAATATGGCATACTTTATTAATAACTATTACTAACATCTGGTGCATAAGTCTTTGCACAAAAATCGGCTTTTATTAGACTATAAAAGCTACTTCTAAACCAACAATTTTTTTCTCTTGGAGAGAGCAAAGTTGAAGTGCGAGTCTTTATCAGACTTATTTTTGCAAAAGAAATCTACAAAAAGTCAACACCTGTAGAGGGTGTGGGATCGGTGTGGGTGAAGAAAATAAGAACAGCCACACCCACATCTACACTTCTTTAACCATAGCTAGTTAGAGTCAAATTAGAAACTATAAGTAAGATCGATAATAGTGGACTAGATGAATAAATCTGTAGATGAACTTGAGTGATGTTCACCTGATCTATAAATTATTTTGCTATACATTGTAGTATTATTTTAACTGTATAAAATATTAATGTACTTAATTTTTATTGCAAACAATCTCATCTTCATTGTTATGATAAACTCTTATAAGATTATATTAAAGCCATATGAAACAACTTGAAAAGGCGTAGTGCAGGGACGTTTTCCGCATGAAACTGACTTTTGGTGAAAATAA